ATGGAGAGGAAAGAGGAGGTATAAGATGGACGAGAGGCAATACCAGGTAGTAGAACACAGACTAAAAGATATGGGTTAATTAGGAACAAATCTAAGCTATAGGCTGAGGTTTCATAATTAATAAGAAGTCTCTGTGTCATTTTTTTTTGTGTGTGTGTGTGTGTGAGCTGGCAGCCTAAAGTAAAAACTTACTATACATATGAACAAAAAAACCCAAACTTTCACCACCAGCAACGACACTATGTCTGTTCACACACTTGTATCCTCACTCTATCATTGAATTCATTATTTCCACATATAGCCACCAGAGCCATCAAAACCTCTATAGCTCCTGAAGCTACAGACAATATCCACCTAGCTCCATGATAGCCCCTTCTCTTACTGCTACCCTATGATATGGTCCCAGTGGCTGTCTCAGCAATGTTATAAGTGAATCACAAAATCCTCTGATGTCATCCCTGCTACTTTTGAAGGACTCTATTCAGCTTTAAATAATGAAGCTATTCCTTCCCATGAAACCAGGAGTCACACTTTTACATCAATTGAGCACTGCATTCCAGAACCCAATGCAATCAATACTATATGATTTAAATGCTTCTTGGTGATAGTAACTCTAACTGTGTGTTCACAGGATGTAATTGAAGAAGGAAAAAGCCATTCACCTCCTGCAGTGTACACAACTGCTCTTCCAACCATCTCAGAGGTAGGAACTGCTAAGGAGGCTGTACAACAAGGCACTATCATCCTTAACTGGCTTTATAATAAACTTCCATCTGTCTTAATTCTTACTAACCAGTCAACTATATTTTCTACTGTTTTGTTTCTCTGATTTTGCAAAGTGATTAATCATTCTGTTTTCTTTTCTTATTCTGTTGTCCCTGAGTTGTTCTGCTTTGTATTGTTTTATTTGGAGCAAGCCTCATAATGTAGCCCAGGCTGGCTGAACCTGAGATCCTCCTTCCTCAGCCTCCCAAATGCTGGGATTACAAGGTTAGAGCACCACAATAGTCTCTTCAGCCTCCTTCTGTTCACAAAACCAACTTTTGCTTCTCAGTTCATCAGATTACTTCTATTTCATGAATGAAATGCTGCCGGCTCTAGAATGAAAAACAAGTATAAGACCATGGAACTAAATTGTTCCAATTTTGTCTTTTACCCAAGTATTGTCATATCTGTCCTGGGGTGTATGTTGTAGTGCAAGGCGGCAGCAGATAAACTACTGTATCAGTTACACACAATGAGACATAACAGATATTGTTAGCTACACAAGTGACAAAAGAGGCCAAACATGTATTTACCTCTATTTACATCTATTTACATGAAGAACTGTTTTGTGTGTGTATTACAGTAGAGGAAAACCAGTCACCCTACTTCCCTGTTTTATGTGTTTATATAATAAAGTATTATAACGATGACAATAATATCCCTGTATATAATCACTGTCCAAATTTCTGACTAACGGTGTTAACTAGGGCCTTACAAGTAAAGTAGCCTTACAAGTAGAGTTCTTTGGATTTTGCTTTTTTTTTTTTTAAGCTGTTTTTAAAGGCTTTTAATTAGGTACTCAAAAAACATTTGCCCAAAAAGGCTGTATTTGCATAATATTCTCCTGTCTTCAAGCATCTCTCTCAACATGCTGTATTTTAAGAGAGCAACAACAGTGTGCTGGGTTCAGATCCCACCTCACAGGCTACCTCAGGAGATCATGGATAGCTCTCTAAAGCTTAGTTTCCTGGGCTGTAAAATATCAACAGCAATGACATCAGGCAAATAGGGTTTATAAGGATCGAATAAAACTACAATGGAAAATTGTCTATAACAGTCCCTGGCAACAATGTGTACTCAATCAACATTAGCAACTGCCACTAGCAAGTAGTAATGCCACTCTTCCTTGAATCACTCTTAGCTAGAATAATTTTTGGATGAAAAATCCCCTAAACACTGTGGAAAAAGTACCAAGCTTCCCTGAAGAATAACGCTGCTCAACAACTAAAGACATTTTATTTACACTGTAAGATCCACCATTTAAAAACTAACATCCTATTTATTGGTTCCTACTGGAGTCAACAGGGTCTTTCCAAAAGGCATGTTCTTCATTCTATGTATTATCTTAACAATGGCATGTTTCTCTTTATTATTCCAAAGTTAACACTTGTTGTTTGTTTTTAAAGGGAAATAACACCAGCTCCAATTTGGAAAGCATGTTTTTTTTTTTGTTTTGTTTTGTTTTTTTCAGAAAGGCACGGAATCAGTGTAAGCATCTCATCGTTCAAGCCCAGAATGCAGCCCCAGAGACATTCATCTGCACCAACTTCCCCAGGGGACCAGAGCTGCAAGGCTTTTACAAAATAAAAATATTCCCTAGGCAGTTTGCTCAAGAAAAATAAAACAACAACAACAAAACATTCTTATAATTCGGATGTCTTCTCAGAACTTGTGCACAGTGCAGTGACTTGTGTGTGTGTTCCCGACTTTCGGTCCAGATGATAATGGCTTTTTGTAGAATTTGTAGAACCCATTTTTTAGGATTTGTGGAATCCATTTGTCAGATGGCTGCCCTGAAACAATTGCAGGAAATTAGTTTAGCCCTATTTAAATACAAAATAGATCATTTTCTATTGCATTAAAAGAATGCATTTGCTTAATCTCTTTACAGAGCTATATATTTTTGGATGTGGGAATATTGCTGTCTAGTTTCTAGAGAGAATCCACTCAAAGCTGTTCCACACCTGCTGCAATAAGGATGTTATTAGCAGGTGGAAATATGCAGAATGTGTTCTAAGATCTTTGACATGAGGTAAATTTGTGTCATTACTCAGGAGAGGAACTCAGGGGCATTTCATGCTGTAAAAACAACAGAGGAAATGAGATTATGGGATGTCAGAAAGGTATCCTGCAGCTTCTGCTCTGGAAACCAACTATATCCAAAGCCTTGTTCTGACACTAAAGAAAGTATTTAGGACAGAGAGCCAATCCGACTCTTCCCTCTGAAGCACTTATTGGCCCCGTGTTTTCCTGCCCTGCCTTCCTTCTCCTTTCTTTGAAACAATGTCATCAGTCTCTGTGAATTTCCCAAGCAGTATGTCTCTCAGCAAACAAAGGTGAGCAACAATCAACCTCAGGTTCAGGCTGCTGTCCTGGCAGAGGGTCAACTACACAGTGAGATGGAGTAGACATTCACTATAACCTACAACTGCCCAGAGAGGTGCTCATCGTCCACACTGCTTGGTTCAGAAAGCACCAGATAGACTTTGCCCTGCACTCTCGTTTTCTTTAATATTTTAATTAAAATATAATCACATCTCTTTCCCTTTCTCTTTCATCCCTCCTAACCTGCCCATGTCCCACCCCACCTCACTCACTCTCAGATTAATGGAGTCTTTTCTTTGTTGCTACTATTACATACGTATGCATAAATATATAAACACAGCCCACTGAGTCCATCTAGTGTTTCTTGTATGTGTAGGATCTCAGGGATGACCAGTTGATACTGGGTAATGAATTAAAGGGCTCACCCCTGGGGAAGATGAATTTTCTCAGTGTTGGCTCTTGTTAGCTCCCTGTAGTTCTTTGTCTCTGGATAAGTTCCCATAAGATTTTTCCCCTCCACTAAAATTTTTATTTTGAATTACGTGTCTGTTGTGGATATGTGCACATTGGTGAATGTGCCGTCAGAGGCCATAAGATAACCTTGATTCCCCGAGGATGGAGTTACAGGCAATTGTGAGCTGCCCTTTGGCTGTCCAAGGTAAATGTTGGGACCCAAACTCGGTTCCCTGAGAGCACCACCACCCCCGAGAGCACTGAATCACCTCTCCAGCCCTACTAAGTTTCACCTTCACATGTATTCTCAGTCATAACACAAGAAAAGTTGCAGGGACAAATGGTAAAACACAACTTCAGACTCGGGTCCAAGAAGTTTTACAGTGAATTCATTGCCTAGCTGTATATAGAGCTCCAGGTATAAAAAGGAAGATTTCCCCAAGTGGATTCAAACATTACACCACTGCTCACACTAGCTGAGACTCCCTTTGCCTCAGGTTCCTCTTTTAGAAATGAGAATTGAATTGCTTATTTTTGTAAAACTGTGATCAAAACATCTGAGGAAAGGATTTAAGGGAAGATGGATCGATTTTGACTGGTTGCAGAACATTCAGTCCATGGTCATGGTGACTGACAGACATGAAGCAAGAAAAAGACAGAAATAAAGAGCCAGATAAGACATAACCCCAAGGACATTCCAACTCTAGCCTCCAATGACCTACTTCCTCTGGTGTAAGTCTCCTTCCTTTTGCTACCTCCTAATAATGCTATCCTAGTATTCACTCAACAAGGGATCAATCCATTGATTGAGCCAGAACTCCCATGACCCATTGTCTCTGAGGCATCATTACAGACATATTCAAGGAGGGCTGCACTAATCCCCTAGCCATTTCTTAATCTAATCAGGCAGACAACCAAAATTAATAATCTCAGGGATAATAACAACCATATCGGCTTATGTTGTTATTATCTTCATCTATCAGAGCCCATCTAGTACTAAGAATGTTAGGAATCATATTTTTAAAAGAACATGGGCATTTTTGAAGCTCCAACTTTGGAACTTCCAGCATATTTCTCATTCAAAGTGGCCTCAATTTACATGGGTTGGAAGAGTGCCTCAGTGGTAGAGGGCTTACAAAGCCTTGGGGTCTGTCCCTACCATCTCCCTCAGTCACTTCTGTTCTCTGCTTGTAGGGACTGTTCTTCTCTTAAAACAGCTAAAAGAATCAATTTCCTTTTCTCTCTTTCTTTCTTTCTTTCTCTCTCTCTCTTTTTTTTTTTTTTTTTTTTCCTTCTATTCCAAATGCATTGGTGAGCTGTCTATGTAGCCCGGGCCTTGGAAAGCCAAGATTCTTGAAAAATGGTAAACTCACTAGAAAGGCCATCTATCTACTGAGGCACTTGCCGATTCATAAGATCAGTGGGAAAGCGTGGAAAACCGAGAATCTAAGCAGAAAATGGCCGCAAGCAGGAAAGATAGTCAGGCTTATGAATGCTCAGTGAAGAAGTTGAAATTGAGAGTCACAGAGTTAACCAGGACTTCAGACAACAAAATCCTGAAGGGAGGCTATAAAGAGGAGACTCGTGTACAGAAAGAGCTGCTCTTTGTTCCTGTGCATTTCCCAGTGGTAAACAGAGCTAGGCAAGTGTTAGACAGACAGAACAAAAAGTGGCTAAGAAATTATGCAAAAGTAACCATGGTCCTGTGGAGATGAACAAATGAACACTGGGTTTGGAACCCACCTGAACAGAGAGGCCATGGGAAGCACCTCCTACTTTCAGTAGGAACTCAGGGAGCTGCACTCCAGAAAAAGCACAAATACATCAAGAGTAGCTTTTAGAGATGAAACCTCAAGGCAGGTTGATCCCCGAGGAGTCAAGGATTTCTGTTCTTAGTGTGACTGCTAACACCATGGCCCACCCACAGTTTCTCATGTCTACCATTACCATTCAGTAAAAATTTACTAGTCATGGAGAGACAGAGAAGAAATGTACATTAGGATCAAACACAAGTAACCCATATATTAGAATGATGAGATTCAGAATATAATGACTGTACATGCTAAAGAAAATAGATGACAAGATGAAAGATTGCGTCAAGAAACTAAAATCTACATAATTTTCAAAACCAAGTAGAAGTTCTAATACCAAAAAGAAAGACAGTAACTGAAATTAACCTTAAATAAATGAGTTTGACAACTGCTGAAATGCAAGTGAAGAGAGTATTAGTGACCTATAAGACTGAATTGGTAGGGAATATGGGGATGGAAACACCCAGACCCCAATTCCTAGAAATGAATAGGAAATTCCCAAAAGAATCATAAAACCCATAGGACATTTCAAGAGCTTAGTTATCTATATGTCTGATTAGAATCCTAGGATGGTCTAGATTGAAACCTAAAATGAGATCAAGTCAGAAACAACAGGCACTATTTGAACAGCTAATTCATAGCTAAGAACTTTCCAAGGCCAATTTAATCAAGCTATCGATTCACAAAGAGAAAGCTCAACCTGGAACCCCAGCTGAGAGCCTCAACTTCCCCAGTCAATTTCTAGTGGCTGTCTGTGAGGCCCTGATTACATCTGCTCTCTCAATCAGGCTACTCCAGCCATCTCTGCTGGAGGTTACAAATTCCTGAGTTGATGATGTAGTCCTAGCTCCTTCCTGTCTCTACTGACACTTGCTATTTATTCTATTTTTGCTTGCTATATAAACTTAATAAACTCACTCAAAACTGAAAGTATGGCTTTCATAAATAATCCTCAAAAGAGATGAGCAAAGGGGTCAAGACCAGGCTAGAGAAACCCATAAAAACAGCTGACCTGAACAAGGGGGAGCTCATGCACCCTGGTCTGATAGCTAGGAAACCAGCACCCCTAAATGTGGGTGTCAGGAGGTCTGGGAAATCTACAGGGCCTCTGGTAGTGGATCAGTATTTTTATCCCTAGTACATGAATGGACTTTGGGAGCCCATTCCACATAGAGCGATACTCTCTCAGCCTAGACACATGGGGGAGGGCCTGGGCCATGCTTCAAATGATATAAGAGACTTTGAAGATTCCCCCATGGAAGGCCTCACCCTCCCTGGAGAGCAGAAAGAGAATAGGTTAGGAGGCTATGGGGGGGGATGTCAGAGGGGAAAGGGAGGGAGAGGGAACTGGGATTGACATGTAAAGCAAGCTTGTTTCTAATTTAAATTAAAAAAAATAGAAAAAAAAATAATCCTGTGAACAGTGACTTACTCAAGAATGGATGGTGGTCCCAGTACCACACACAAAACTGCCTGTACTAAGCAAATGTTCTGCCACTGTAATATATCGCCAGCCCTCTTTTTTAAAAAGATCCCAGTTTTGAAATAGACTTTGATTTCATTGCTTGGTGTAGCCTGCCACTCTGTAGCCAGGCAGGCCTTGAACTTTGTACCTCAGCCTCAGAAGTAGCTGGAATCCTGTATCCCCAGCTCAGCTTATACCAAATTATGTTAAAATGATGTTCTTGCGTTTTCATTACCAGCATTAAAAAATCTCTCATTTGTTTTTCTTTTCTTATAGCATTAGCCTACATCTCCAATACAGTGCTAAATACTATGTATTAGCACTAATGTACAATATATACATGTGTAAATGTATGTGTGTGTGTTTAATATTATAGATGAAAGTAAAAACACCAGAAAATATTTGACACAGGTATGCAGAGAATAAGTACCCGTGGAGTGCTCATCCATGAGTGGGACACGGTATCACAGCCTTCACCACAAACCTTAGGGACCACTGAGGAAGTGAGGGTGAAAACGGGAAAGGGCAGAGGCCAGGGAAGCCTGAGGGGATACAGAGCCTTCTGGACACTACAGGACTACCGCGCTTACAGACTCACAGAAACTGTGATGCCTGCACGACGCCTTTGCATGATCACCCACTCAACGTTCCAACATGGAGCAGGTGGGGGCTCATGAGCCCCAACCCCTAGCTGAGGGACTGTTGACAGTTGAAGACTTCTTCAGGAGGGAGATTCGGGGGTTTTGTTGTTGTTGGTTTTTTTTTAAGGGTGTAGCCTCTGGTTAGTTGACTAAGCTCCCTTGAATGGCCACACACTTAGGAGTGTGCAAACAGCACAAGTTAAACTCAGTGGGTTATTTTAAAAAAAAATTTAAAAGTTAGGACATGATAATTTGAAGGGAGTGGAGGGTAGGTAGTGGATCTAGAAGTTAAAAGGAGGTGATGGGGGGTGCGTAAATAGGGCCAAAATATATTGTATGCATGTGTGAATTTTACAAGAATGTTTTAAAAGTTGTATTTAAAAAGTGTGGGTCAGGAACTGTATGTGGTGGCCCACCCTGAACAGAGGCTCTGGGCTCATCTGAGCAGTGGGAATCACCCTTTCTTAAGAGGTGTGCCTTCCAGGAGAGGGATTACTCCACTGTAATGAGCTTGGCTTCATCCAGTTTTGAGTGTTATTAACTTCATCTTAACCTTCTAGGCACAAACACAGCTTCACATAGCCTATTATGACACCATTGGTTCTGGTCATTGATTGTCCCTTGTCCCCAGTCCATAGCCACAAGGACCTTACAGGTCAGAGCTGCTATGGCTTCCTTCTTTTGGCCTTGTTACCCTGGTGTGCTCACACCAAGGCAGCTGACACTGACCTCTTCCGTCCAGGTCTCAGTGGACCTCAGAAGGAAGAAGCCCCCATTCTTCTCTCCTGTGCTCCCAATAGCGTCTTATTATTGAGGTGGTTGCCTCTGAAGGAGGTGGGATCTGACAGCTCCCACTGTAGGGGCCTAGGGGCAGACAGACACATGGTTGGCTTCCAAGTGATGGCCAAGCAGGTCTTCCTCTCTCTGCACACCCAGTGAGACTGACTTGGGGTAGAAATGAGTGAAGTCCCCAGGGAACCTCATAGGGCCTTGGTGTGGTCCTATCCTGTCTACTCCCTTGTATCTGAGCAGGACTCTTGGTGTCCAGCTCCTACATGCTGCTGAAGGGATCTTCCCATCATGCAAAGCCAAGGATATCACTCTTCTAAAACTCTAGAAAGGCTAAGGATGTCATCCCTAACCTCTGAAATGGCCTGATTCATCCCCACATCACAACTTGCAGTATTCCTAGTTCCTATCTCCCCTCCTCCTCCCTACTGTGTTGATCCCTGTTTCCAGAACTAGCTCAATCCAGCCCACAGGCAATCATGTTAATGCTTCTTTGCAGAGCCAGGAGGCTGCAGAAGCCCTTGCTGCCTCTTGGACCCCTGCAGAGCCATGGGCTTCCTCTCTTGGGCTATTTCTCCCAGGATCCTGGGCAGCCATTGCACCAAACCAAAACCTGAGCGGTATATAACCACGCCGGTTTTGTCCCTTTTTATGTTTAAGGCAGGACACATTCGCAAAGCAAATTGAGTCAGACTCATTGTTCACGATGGAGACAAATTGATGACACTTGCTTCTTCGAAGGGGGTGCTGGGCAGCGTGCCATGGCAACAGGGCATCTAAGCTAAGGGGGTACTGGGGCGGGACAGACCTGCTCCAGAACAAGAGCCGCGACTCGACCCGCGGGCCGATTTCGCTTTCGCTCTGAGTGCGGTGGGTGTGGTGGGCGGCGGGCGGGTCCCGGAACATCGCAGGCGGGCACTCCGAGAGTTAATCCGAAAGCGCCACCCGCCCCCTGGGGACGATCGACGCACACGTGTCCTTGAGAAGCTCGTGTAGAGACAGAGAGAGAAAGCAAGAGACACCATCCTGGGAAAGTCCTACTGGGTCTCCAGACAATTATAAAAATGTGTCCCCCAGGGTCAGTGTTGCAACAGCCTCGCCTCCAGCACCCAGCTGTTCTACTCAGTGCCAGCCCAGAATGTGTCCATCACGCTGTAAGTAACCCAAGGCAGGGACCAGGGTGACAGGATCAGGGAGAGTGGTCTGGGAAAGAGCAGGCAGAAGCCATGGGCCCGCTAAAGGATACTAAAGGGCAGTCAGTAATTGCAGGCCAAAGGAAGGAAGACAGGAAGGAGGAAGGTTTTGCTAGATCTCTGCTGTACATGGTCTCTTCATTATAGAATAACCCAGGCCCATTATGCCCAATTCACCGAAGAAAACTAAGGCACAGCCTTGGAGCTAGAATAAGGAAAGCACAGATCTCATCCAGTCCCCAAACAAGATTTGGGGAGTCTTGCTCAGTCAGTCCTGAGGAGGGGTTGAAACATGGGTGGAAGGAGATCAGTACCCAAAAGAAATGGATGGCAAAGATGGGCAGACTGGCCGAAGACGGCATGCCTAAACAAGCTGACAAGCTCAACCTACCTCACCCCTACCCCCATTTTCTTTCCAGGCCTCCTCTTTTTGGCCATCCTTGTCCTCCTAATCCACCTCAGTTTGGCCAGGGCCACACCAGTGTCCAGACCTGCCCAGTGTCTTGACCATTCCCAAAACCTGCTGAGGACCACTAACAACATGCTGGAGAAGGTGAGTTCCTCGTGTCCTCTGGCTTCGAAGCTCCTCTGTGGAAAGGACTTTTAACCTATCTGCTATCTGCTGGGAGCCCCCAGTTCATGGGTAGCTGGCAGGAACTGTACAGGAAACTTAAAACCTCCCAGATAGGATCTAGAGGAAACTGTGTTGCAAGAGAAAGAAAGGATGATAATAAATTATAATGGCATCAGTTGGGACTGTGTCTACTCAGAGGAAAATGGCTACTCACTGTGCCCCTCCCAGCCTGCCTGGGTTATGACATCGGGACAGATGCTCTCTGCATCTGCTCCACTGCAGGTTGAGCAGGGAGACAGTCACTAGGTGCAATCTCTGTGCTTCACACGCTATAAAGATGAATTAGATTGTCTCTTCTGCTGCTCACTAACATCCAACACAGTGATGCAGTTCCTTGTTGGATGGACACATCTCAGGGAGGATTGAGACATCAGGTGTCATGTCCAGCCTTCATTTTTCTAGGGCAAATGCGATCCAGTTTTATTTCTAGCTCTCTTAGTTTTTCTCGGATTTAATATTTGAATGCAAATATGTTGTAAAATTTGCCACCATTTTCTCCTACTTTTGCTACAAAGCTACAATGTGTTCTAGATATCCTGGAGCTGCTAGGGCTGTGACTCAGTGTAGAGTTCTTAATTATGAATAAGGACCCATGTTCCAACCCTAACAGGGCATTCAGCCATAAGTACATAGGAACATAGGGACAGAGAAAGGGAGGAAGGAAGGAAGGGAGAGAGAGAGAGGGAGAGAGAAGGAGAGAGATTCCTTCCTTCTTCCTGGTGTTACTTTTAAATCTTTCTTGAGGACCTTTTAGCTTGTTATCTTCTGCCTATCCCAAGATAAGCTCCATTCACAAGGGCTTTTTGGAGAATTTCTTCCTTCCCTTCTCATCTTTCATAATGTTCTGCCAATTGTTCCTCAGTGCCCAAACAATATTAATCACATGGGGGCTCCCAGCTAAAGAGAGGGCTCAGTGGTCAAGAGTGCTGGCTGTTTTTCCAGAGGACCTGAGTTCAATTACCATGGTGACTCACAACCATCTATAACTCTAGTCCTAGGGAAACTCATTTTCTGGCCTCTGCAGCCACTGAGCCCACATGGTACACAGATATACACACAGACAGAAAACTTGTACACATGAAATTTTAAAATTAAGTAGAAATCTTAAGGGAGGAATGCCTGCAGAAATGAGTGACATTTTTCCTAAGGTGGGGTTTGATATGGGGGCATTGGAGGAGTTCAAAGTTCACTAGATGCTCCATGGAAAAGCCCACTCTGCTACTCCCAGACAACTTTGCTGAAGATCACAACACTGCAGAATTCAGTTTTATCTTAGTTTGAGTTACTATTGCTGCCAAGTCAAAATTGTAATCTAGTAGGGTATAAATACTGTCCCTTCTTTGTCCCTAGTACCATAGTTGAATGGGAGAAATTGTCTCAACTTTCAGACAGAAAGTGGTTGACTTCTTAATAAATTGTGTAATTCTGTTCATTGATATTTCCCAACACACCAGGGGTAAGAGACAGTTCCTGTGTACTGTGTATTAAAGCTCAAGTAGTCTTTAGGGCTTGCAAGTTTGTTACAGCCACCAAGCTGCGACATTAACAGTTCCCCTTTAGAACTTATACTTGAAAAGGATGTTCATATAGCACATCTGCTTGGCAAAAGGAAAACAACAGGATTCACCGGAAGCAAGCATCACAGTGTGGTGCTGATGCTGATTAGCACAGCCTGCTGTAGTGTTCACTTGGTGGAAAAAAATATCCTGCTTACAAACAGCCTAGGCAAGGTGGGAGGGGAGGGAGGGAGAAAGTAGGTGGCCTGTTTCTTCTCATCTGAATTTCCTCCAGGTCAAAGAGATGAAGGTTCAGGGTGGTCAGTTCCAGTCCTGCTGGTACCCTTGGGTGTCAAGCTCAGAGGGAGCCAGCTACCTTGCTGATAGCATCACCTCAGCTTCTCTTTACGGTTTCCACAGGCCAGACAAATTCTGAAACATTATCCCTGCACTGCTGAAGACATTGATCATGAAGACATCACAGGAGACAAAACCAGCACACTGAAGGCCTGTTTACCACTGGAACTAGTCAAGGTATAGAGGTCTTTCCCCAAGAAATCATGCAACACAATTAAGAATTGCACACCAAATGTAAGCTGTCTCCAGATATTTACATGTAGCTACCAAAAGTAAGATTTTTGGGAAAAAAAGTTACAACAATATGAATACTTCAACAAGCTGAAGGATATACTCAATAACCATGGGCTGGGTGTGGTGGTATATACCTTTAATTTCAGGCTAATCTCTGCTAAGTTAGAAGCCAGCCTAGTATATATAGTGAGTTCCAGGCCAGCTAGGGATACATAGTAAGATCTTGTCTTTAAAAGAAAAAAAAAAAATGGGTCTTGTGAATCTGTTGTAAAGTGCTTACTGCACAGGTGTGATGACCTGAGTTCAGATCCCCAGCTGGGTGTGATGGTTCCACATGTAGCCTCAGTGCCAAGGTAGGCAAAGACAGGAGGATACCCGGGAATCATTGACTAGCTAGTTTAGCTGAATCAATGAGTTGCAGGTTCATTGAGAGACCCCCATATTAGAAAACATAAGATGGAAGACTGATTGAGAAAGATGCCAAAGATGGTCCTCTGGCTTCCACCTGCAGACACTCATACACACTCATGCAGACATAAATTCCTACACAGTCACACAAAAGTCCCTGTGATGGTGAATTTTCATATGCTTCTTACTGTAGTGAAAAGTTAGTTTGAGATAAAATATCAGAGATATTTGTACTAAGAATTAATGTCCTTGGTGTGTTTTTCCTCTAGAATGAGAGTTGTCTGGCTTCTAGAGAGACGGCTTCCCTAACAGTAAGTAAGCAAACTAAAGGTTCCTTCCCCATGACAGATTCATGATATTGATGGTGACTCATTCTTTCCTCCAGAGAGGGAGCTGCCTTCCACCCAGAAAGACTTCTTTGATGATGGTAAGTTTTACTGCTTTCCTCAAATGCAGCAGTGAGATGTAGTTCTAGCCTGTTTTAATGGCTTCTTTCCCATTTTGTCCCTTCATCTAGACCCTGTGCCTTAGTAGCATCTATGAGGACTTGAAGATGTACCAGACAGAGTTCAAGGCCATCAATGAAGAGCTTTTGGATCATAATCAGAAACAGGTGGTTCTGGATGAGAACATGCTGACAGCCATTGACAAGCTGATGCAGGTAAGGCATCCTTCTTGGGTCAGGAGAAACCTGAAGCCACTCCCACCCTTTCAGCCCCCACCTCCATCTCCACGGCCTTGGCCTTGAGGAGACCCTTTCCAGTCCGGGCAAATACAAGCAGCCTTCTACTTGTTGACTCCATGCTATGCACCAGGCTCTTTGCAAATGGTTTTTCTGATGCCATCCCCATAGCAAGCAAATAAGGTCTGTACAAAGGAGGACAGGGACTCTTATCTGAGATCACATAGCCTGCAAGAAAGAGGCAGAACTAAGGTTCCCTGAAAAAAGGATTGGTGTTTTTTTTTTTTTTTAAATACTTTTTTCTCTTAAGGGTCCAAGATTAGAGCACTAGCTGTGCAACCATGAGGACTTGAGTTTGACTGGGAGCACAGGTGCAGGAAACATCTTGAACCAGCTTATGACCTCAGAGAGTGGACACAGGAGGATCACTGAGGCCATCTTGATGCAAGTCTAGTCATGAAAACTCCAGGTTCAGGGCGAGAACTGCCTCAAAGGAATAAGATGGAAAATAACATAGGACCCCCTTCTCTGGCTTCTGCATGTTGTAGGCACAGATCATATATCTGCTATGTGTGCATATAATACACAAACATATACATGTACATATATCTCTTTTTTAATGAGTAATGAACACTGAAAGGGCTGCACACACACCCAAATATTACTAGGGAAAATAAAAGGTTATAATCTTGAACAAAATGAAAAGTATTCTGTCATCTAGGGAAATCCACAGTGTTACTCATTCATGGGAACTTGCGGTAGATGGTAGCACAAACCACAGAAATATGCACATAATAGAGCTGAGTGCCTTGGCAATTAGGGCATAAGATGAAAATATGTTCAGAAGTCACTGTCTGAAAAGCAACTGATTTCTTTTTCATTTCTTATATACTGTTTCATTATGGTTTCTAGTCTTTGATAAAATACCATGGCCAAATACAAGTTGGGGAGGAAAGTATTTAGTTCATCCTGTAGCTTATCCTGTGAGTTCATCTTCCAAGGAAAATCAAGGCAGGAACCCAAAGGCAGAAACTAATGCTGAAGCTGTGGAGGAACCCTGGTTACTGGCTTGCTCAGCCTGCCTTCTTATAGCACGCTGGACTACCAGCCTAGGGTGATCCCCCCACATCAATCATCAATCAAGAATTACCATAGGTTTACCCACAGGCAAATCTGGTAGAGATGTTTTTCTCAGTTGACGTTCTCCACTTCCAAAATGATTCTATCTTGTGTCAAGTTAATATAAATTAGCCAGTACATTATACATTGCCAGATTGTTTGAAAGACAGCAACAGAGAATTGTAATTGATATTTTGTATGTACAAGTGGAGAAGTCAGGTGATTTGGGCAGGAGAAAGAGGGCTACCAGGGGCAACTGTGCATCAGAGTCAATTCCTGTGACTTCAGACACCCCCCCTCTCTCGGGATTTTGTGAGGAGCAAGCAAGAATAGCAAGCAAGCTTCATATAAATGTAAGTTCTTATTCTGTCACCAAATCAAAAGGGGGTGGGGCTGGGAATGTAGCTCAGTGGCATGGTGTTCGTCTACCATATCAGAGGAATGAATGGAAAACGTGCTGCCGGTTTGTTTATCTAACACAAACAGCATTTCCATCACAAACAGCTCTGTTACTGACAGAGGGCTCTAATCAACAGACTCCCCTCAGCTCCCTCTTCTCAAAAGACTGGATTCTTAACATAACCTGTAAAAATTAATCAGCTACTGCCGCAGATACCATCTCATAGACTCTGACCTTCCCTAAGACAGGCCCTAATGCTGACTTTTCTGAACCATTTAGGGATCTTTTCAGAATTCATTAAAGACAGGTGTGTTTACAAAAGAATATTTCTTCCCTCTGTTCCTGCAGGAACATTGCACCTGGGGTCTAAGAGTGTCTGAGGGACTAGGTTGCAGGCACTGGATGGTGCATTGACTTCATCCGTGTTTGCAGACGTACATTTTCATTTTGAAATCGTATATATGTTATGCTTGGTGTTTCTTTCTTTTTAGGCTCTGAATCTCAATGGTGAGACTCTGCCCCAGAGTCCTTCCCTGGAAGTAGCCAATCCCTACAAAGTGAAAATGAAGCTCTGCATTCTACTACAGGCTTTCAGCATCCGTGCTGTGACTATCAACAGAGTGATGAGCTATCTGAATTCCTCCTGAGAAGCTCAAGCCTTCCTGCTTAGTGCCCTTTTTACAAAAATATTAACTAATGACATTTTAATAAGAGGTGGGTTAAGAACCAGGAAGTCTTGGCCTGGTTGAACATAAGCTTCTGCCCCATTCTCCCAGCCCTGTCAAAGGTGGCACCGCTACCTCATCATGGTCCCCTCAGTCATGTCTCTTGTATTTACTATGCACGCTATTGTTTGTAAGTTTTCATGGAAATCTTAAGGAGAGAAAATGTCCTCCTTAAATGAGTCGGCAGCAGAGCAAGAACTGATAAGCTATTATTTTTGTGTCAAAGTGTTTATGAAAACACTCATCACCACTTATTTAAAAATATTTATTGTTATAGTTTATATTCATGGAAGTATATGAGCTTATTTATATTTATTTATGTTCTATTTATTATAATATTTCTTGTCAAATGAATTTGAAACATTCAATTATTATGTAGTTCTAATAAAGTGATACAAGCATTTCACACATGTTATTGGAGCATTTATTCATTCATTTATTTACCTAAACAGAATCTCACTGTGCAGACAAGGCTGACCTCCAACTCATGGAGATCAGATAGCTTCTGAATGCTGGGTCCAAACCTGTGCACCACTACACCTAGCTAATTGGTGTATTTAAATGTTTTAAGATACATTGCAGGAAAACTGTGCCCTCCACTGCTGTGAAAAACACCACAACCGATAGCAACTTATGGGAAGGGATTATTTCATCTTAAAGTCTACAGTCTGTTGTTGAGGGAAGTCAGGGCAGAAACCTGGAGGCAAGAACTGATCCAGAGAGGAAGGAGGAATTACTGACTTGCTCTTCATGGCTTGCTCAGCCTGCTTTCTTATACAACCCAGGACCACCAGCCAGGATTAGCACTGCCCACAGTATGCTAGGCCCTCCCCCATCAATTTCTAATTAAGAAACACACACACACAGATTTGCCTACAGGCCAATCTGATGGAGACATTTTCTCAATTGAGCTTCCCTCTTCCTAGATGCTTCTAGTTTGTATCAAGTCAACAACAACAAAAACAAAAACAAACAAACAAAAAACAAGAACTAACCAGCACAAAAATTCTGATGAAATTTGAACACAGTGACCTCATAAAGATGGCAACAATAGGATTGGAGAGATGGCTCAGTGAGTAAAGTGTTTCTATCCCATGTGTGACAACTGGGTTTCAGATCCCCAGCTCTCAGGTAAATGCTGTGTGGCCATGATAGTCCACCTGTAATCCCCATGCTGAGAAACAGGAATATCAGAGCAAACTGGCTAGCTTGACTAATCAAACTGATAAGCCATAGGTATGAATGACAGACTATGCCTCGATAAATAAGGTGGAGAGTAATCAAGGAAGACATCAAGCTTTAGCCTCCACACCATGTGCCTGCACACACCCATGCGCCTGCACACATTTGAACACATTACACAAACACATACTACAGACATGTACATAAAAAATTGGCCATAGTTTCACCTCTGGAAGACAACCAAGGGCAACAGCAACAGCTTGTAATGTTTGGGGAGTATCTTGATTACTAATTTTTAAAATACTGATTATCCACATTGGAGAAGTTATGGATATAGTCATACCCTTTTACTTTGCTAGTATAAGTGGAGTGTACTTTGTCACAGTCTTTCATGATGAAATTTGGCAATATTTATTCAGAATCTTAAAATATTTGTTTAGACCTGTGGCCCTCATAACTCCGTTTAATGGAATTTATACTGAAGAAAGCATTAGATATTTATATAGATGTTGTACAAATATGTTTTTACAGTATGATTAGTAGTGAATTAACCTGAAAATTAACTTTCACAAAACAGGATGAATTAAGGGGTAAACTCCTAGTTCACTATCCATATGTGTGGTTCACATTGACTGTCTACTTGACAGGACCTAGGCTCATCTAGGAGGTAAGTCTGTTGACAAGTCTGCAATAAATTATCTAGATCACATTATGTCCTGGGCATGATTGTGAGTTATTTAGATTAAATTCTCCTTTAGTAATATCTGTAAAATATAACCTAGATTTAGGTAATTGAAGGAAGAAGATCCATCCTGAATGCACATGTCACCATTCCATGGACTGGGGTCCCAGGACTTCCCACAAAGGAGACAGCCATGTACAAGTATTCATCACTGTCCTCCTCCTGACCTGGGACACATGGTGACCTACTGCTTCAAGCTTCCATTGTCTTGACTTTACCATCATGACATCGTGTACCCTCAACCTGTGAGCCCAAATTATCTCTCCTCAAGGTGCCATGGTCAAAGTAGTCTACTGTAGCACACCAGAAAAATAACTAATCTAACAAATAACAGAGAGAGAGAGAGAGAGAGAGAGAGAGAGAGAGAGAGAGAGAGAGAGAGAGAGAGAGAGATGGCCATAGTATTCTGACTTATTTCCCAGTCCTCTTAATCTTGATTTTTTTTTCAGGGAAACAAGGCAGGTCTCAATACTCAAATGGCTATGTGAATTATGGTGTTTAAGAATTATTTTACTATTTTTGTTCAATAGTCTCAAAGTAAAACACACAAAAATGTTCTCCCTGACAACCATAGGCCGTGACCTGCTGTGAGTTAAACAAATACATTATGGCACTCCTCATCCAAAGGGCTCTCCAAATTATTCTAACTCTTGTGACCCTTTGGGCTCTCAGAGGGAAGTCCTTTTTAAATTACAAACAGAAAAGCTCTCTACTTGCCCAAATTATATAGAATGCTTCCCTGAACCCTGTATGTAATTGCCTTCCTTTGCCTTAAGACATGTCTTCCCTCTGGTCTTAGTATTAGTTCTATCTTTAAGCCATGGGAATTTATAGAGTCCCACAACAGAATCCCACATCACTTGGTTCTGGGATAACCACGCTCCTTCTTAATAGGAAAAGGCTCACAGACCTTTATTTAGAGAGGTACCAGGTCCCCTACTCATCTCCAGGGATCCAGAAGGAAAGAAGTGTGGCCTCTCCTCTGACAAATTCGCTGTCCCAATTCTCACTCTCTGCCCTTCATCAGACAAAATTCCGTGGGAGCCAGATCCACCAAGGGACTGGGTGTCTCCTGCTATTGTGCCCAGACTCTGAACCCCCAAGATCACCAAGAGACCAAATCTTCCCCATACAAAAGCAAAGAGTCTTTTTAATTTATGAGTTAACTCGGGTCCTCTGTCCATCTGACATAGAGGGTGGAGTAGGAGGGTTCCGGAGCAGCAGTGGGGCAGGGTATGTATTAGGGTAGAACAAGGGGAGTGTCTGGGGCTCCACTAGTTGCATAGCAACAGTCTCAGGAACCTCTGGGCTGGGAAAACCTGCCTTGAGTCAACTGTTCAGCTGCAGCTGCAGGAAGGTTGCTATGCCTGGAGACCATCCAAGGGCCATTGCTACCTACTGCATTCCACTATTATCAGTAAAGCGCATTCAGAACCCTCCAGCTAACATCTAATTGGTCCTTGCCACATGGAGGCTATCTGACAGTTGCTTCCTAGTCATTAGGGCAACTTTGGGGGCTCAGGACATGCTGCTGAATCATGGATCTATGTCTGGGTCTTTTCTGCAGCCTGTCATGGCTGCCAAAGCAGGGGACTGAGTGAGGATCTCAGCCCTTCAATCCCAGGCAGGGGCTCCTCCCAGGCAGATGCTTCCCCCAGGCAGCGGCTCCCCCAGTCAGAGGCTCCCCTTAGGAAGAAGCCCTCCCCAGGCAGTGTCCCCCTCCCCCGGGGCAGGGGCTCTTTCTTATGAACAGCATAGGTCACAGTCAATGCTTGAGAAGACTCTCTAGGCCGTGGAGTAGCTGGCCAGTCCTTACTGAGAATGACACCTGCTGACTGCCTGTCTCCTCTTTGCTTCAAGCACAGCAACAGAAAGTTCTCCTCCTGTGTCCATACAGAGGAACACACTCATTGCATTTGTCCCAGGCATCATTATGAGATGTGCTTTGAAATAATGACTGGAGGCGATTATGGTAGTCCATGCCTGCAATGTCAACACTTGGGAGACTGCAATAGGAAGGCCATGAGTTCAAGGCCAGCCTAAGCTATAGGCCAAGTCTCTGTGTAAAACAAAACAAAGAGGGCTGTCCCAAGTGAGGTCTTCAAGATGAATTCCATTCTTCGATAGTCTCTAGCGTTTGTTTTCCCCCTTTTAAGCCCTTTTAGTGCTTATATATTTTCACCAAATTGTTTATGGCTGTCTCCCTGTGCCCTCTTCCAAGAAATAAAGATAATGCTCAAACTTGCCTCAAAGGATCAGAGTGATGGTTAAAGAACAAGCATTGGCCTGGCCCTCAGTGCACAAATATTAGTTAGTTTTAAGGATCAGTGTTCATCTTTGGGGATGACAACTCAGACAAAGTAGTTAACTCCTTGGCTACTGTTTCTGCCTTGGTGGAATTTAAGAGAGAAAGCCAATTTCACAGAGTTACCATAAGGAGTAAATGAGAGAGTGACAAAGCCAGAGATGGTGGCATATGCCTGTAACCCCAGTGACTTAAATGCAGCAGGATCAAGGAGCTCAAGGTCAACCTTTACTAAATGTGAGCTAGCCTGCACCAAAGGAGACCTGTCTCAAAGACACACGTAATAAATAAATACAAATAAATAAGACACTAAAGGCACCTAATAGATGCTCCAAATCAAACCCTTAAAGCAGTGGGGTTATTTCCTTCAAGACCTCATCATTCTCGGTAGCAACAGGCAGGGACAGAGAGATGGCTCAGCAGGTAAAGGCTCTGGACCCTCTAGCACACTCAGCCAGAGTGTCACCAGCAAAAAGATTGTCTGGGAAAGATGCAGGGCAAAAGGCAAGGTCCCTCCCAGGAACAAAGTGTGGGAACCAATGAACTTTTTCAAACTAAATCCCTGACTTTAACATCATGCTCAGTGACAGCTCATTAGAGGTCTCTTGACCTAAAACAACTTCACTAAAAAGGAAACAAGCCAAATGTGCTTTGGACACAAGGGAATGACTCCACCTGAGGGTCAACATGGAGAACATGGAGTCGAAGCCGCTCTACTGAAGGCCCTCAGAACTAGGGAGAGAAGACACTAAGGGAGGGCCTAGCCACATGTGCAAAGGAAGTTTTGGAAAACTCAGGAAGATGCCAAAGGGCTTTTGACATTCCAAGGAAAAATGAAACCACAGAAACAAAAATGGAAAATCAGTTTTACCTGAGGCCATCCCCAGAGCTGTCATGGATCCTTTAGGCTGTGCCATGGGGTCCATTATGTTACCGGGTCTACACATCGTCATTGACCTCATCATGCAAGCTAAAGTATATACAAAATTTAAAATCAAAATCTTCAGCTACATCTTCTGAAAATTTGTGTGTACCTGAAATACTTTAATATATGTATATATACATACATATATGTATATTGTTTTGTTTTAAAATCTGGGTATGGTGGC